TAAAAAAAAAAAAAACCCACTTCTGAAAAATCAGATCGATGGTTACGAGCCAACCCGCCAAAATAAAATAAAATAAAGCAATGCTTCTAAAACTCAGATCGCTAGCTAAAGGCTTCGTTTCGTACACCAAGGAGAAACCCCCCGCGAGTTTCTGCGGGCAAGAGCGGGGGCCCCGAGCCTCCCGGGTGAAACTTTGCCACGGGCTGAACTTCTTTTCAAGTCCTTGAGCGCAAGAGCCAGGGCCGGGGCGCGGGCGAGGAGGGCTGGCTTGCAGCGCTCCCGCCCCGCCCGTGTTTTAATGGTTCGCATTCTGCGGGGCCGCGGCGGGCTGTGGTGTGAGGGAAACAGTTTATTACCTTTCCGTGAGAATCCCTGGATAGAGGGCGAGGGGGAGCGAGGTGACAATGAGCAGGAAATAGTTCAATGGGGTCTCTTTAAACAATAACAAGTTCTTTAAACGGCAGCAAAGGAGAGGGAAAAGGAGCGGCGCGGTGTAAAAATACGGGTTTCTTCTAAAAGAGGCATCTCCCCACGTCCCAGCCTCCGCGCAGCATCGCTGCCGGGGGTTTTGAAGATTTGAGGAGGAGGTGCCCGGGCGACGCGGGCAAACTCTGGGGGAGCAGCAGGAGCTGGAAGTCGGTGTTGCTGGGGCAGGGAGGCTGAAGGGCTCCCGTCTGCAGGACGCAGGCGGCGGCTCAGTCCGGGCTCTTTCCGCGGGCAGGTACCCCCTGCCTGCACTCCCCCCGCGCCCCCCCCGGCCGCCCCCCCCTGCCGGCCCCCCCTGCCCTTCCACGCTCCGCGCAGAGGGCAGCAGCAGCCCCGGCGCGCCTTCCTTCATCGAACTTCAAATAAACCCAATGCATCCGCTATTATTTTCGGTTTCTTTTCGGTTTAGGAGCCAGGGCTTAGGGCTGTGTTTGCATTGCACAGCACCATCGGGCTCACCCAGCCTTAACTCACGCAACTCCGCAGAGCTTTTTTTTTTTTTCCCCCCTTCAGCCTGACATGTTAAATTCCGCACGTCAGCTCTCCCCAGCTACCGCCCAGAAACACACGAAAAACGGTTATCCCTGCAAGACGAATTCCCGCGGTAAAGTTTCTTAAAGCTCTTTTCTGCCCGAGCATCCACCGCCCGCTTTTTGTCCTCTTCGGAAGGGGAAGGCAGCATTTGCAAAGAAGTTAGGGGCGAGGCTTCCTCAGCTGACCCCTCGACGCCGCGATGGGGCATTTTGAGCCGGCCTGTCCCGCC